GGGGGGAGAAGGGTCCTTACTTTCTCTGAGGCTCGGTTTTTGCTTATAGGATAGCACCACACAGACCTATTGTGATTTTAGATGAGACTAGCCACAGATGAGCATTCATCGGAGGTTTCGCCACTTGCCTTTTGACCCTCCCAATAATCTCTTCTATGTAGCTTAGTTCAAACACTGCTTTACAAAGGCCAGTCAGGGCATGGCATTGTGCTCGGCACCCCCTTGCTATTCTCCATTTCACTCACGATGCAGACAAAGCCACTGCCAACGTCTCCAAGGTCTAATATCCTAGAGACTCCTGACATCTCTTGGGCTCGCTGCTCTTACCTTTTTGCCTCAGTCACACCAGTGACTGTTTTGTTCCTTGAGCATAACGAGCAAGTCCCTGGCGGAGGCCATTGGCAGACGCTGCTCCCCACGCAGAACAATCTCCCAGAGACGTGCTCGGGCCTCACCCCTCATTACCTTAAGGTCTGTGCTTAAATGTTTCCTAATGAGTCTCCTCTCACAGCAGTCTACATAAAAGACTAATTACAAACTCCCTAAAATCAGAGCTGTTGTGTTCACCATGCCTGGCGGACAGTAAATGCTCATTGAATATTTGTTGAATTAAAGACATGGTAAGACTTGGCATAAAGAGGTATCACTGCAAAAGCTACCTTAGAGCTGACGGTTTTGCCGTATACCAGCCTGTTCCAGTGCCCACCGTATGCTCTGGAGCACACCTGGGCAAAACCAGGAAAAGCGACAGTAAGAACAACTTGCAATCGTTGCTCTTTTTCTTCTTTCCCAACCTGCTCCTAATTATACACGAAGGGAAGACAATGTCTTGGGGGTTACCACTGCACGCGCCAAGTCGGAACCAACTCCATAGCAGCTGACAAGAACGTCACCGCTGTACAGGAAACAGCAATGGGCAGCTGGCGCTGGGTCAGCCCCTCAGGGCCGTCTCTGGTGGTCTGTCTGGTAAGCACCATGGTGTGATTCCACCATGCACTCCACGGAGAAAAGGTCAGGCGATCTGCTGTCTAGGGAATCCTAGTTGGGGTCGCTATGAGTCAGAATTGACTCAGTGGCTGTGAGTTTGGTGTGGTGATGTTTACAAGATGCTTTCTTAGTCTTTCGAGACCAAATTACTTCCTGCTTTGAATTTTTTGCTCTTCTTGAAACCATGAGTTTTCAGTAATGGAAGGCCTTTCAAGGGAAATGGAATACAATTTCTCTGGAAGTAACAGGGACTTTGATACAATTAGTAGGGCACAGTGGTCCCAAGGGGATCTTGAGCCGTCTCAGAGGAGGAAATGTAGATAGGCACTTCTCTAGGGGACTTGAAAACGTTTGTGGAAGTATTCTGCTTTTCCTAAACAGTCTTTGAAGATGCCCCCGTATGTTCCAAGGGTAAATTAATAGGACGTGCTATTACTAGCCATACAGTCTACTCGATTTATGAAAGTAACTCAGAGATAATATTCCCTTGCCTATAAACTAGTTATCAGGGTCAATGGCTTCTTAATTTTTATCCCTTTGGTCTTATTTCTTTTTCCATTTTGTAACCCTTTCATTTCCTTCCAGTTAATACAGTCTACAATCCCAGGTGGATTTATCAGTTTTACTATAATAGCCAATTCATCCCAGTAATTCCTGCACCAAGATTTTTGTTGATTTTGATTTTACTATAACCAATGTATTAACTGAAAGAACACTTCCTACTCGATGCGTGTGAATGATGGTGCTGGTGAACACTAGTGAAAGTGCCCTGGACTGTCAGATCTGTCAGAACAAACAGATCTGTCTTGGAAGCAGTACAGCCAGAATCATCCTTGGAGACAAGGATGGTGACACTTGGTTTCACATACTGTGGACATGTTGTCAGGAGGGACCAGTCCCGGGGGAAGGGCATCATGCTTGGCAAAGTAGAGGGGCGGGGGAAAGAGGAAGACGCTCAACGAGATGGATTGATGCAGCAGCTGCAATCATGAGCTAAAGCATCAGAACAATCACGTGGTTGACCCAGGACCAGGCGGTGTTTGGTTCTGTTGAACAGAGTGTTCCTATGAGTTAGAACTTACTAGAGGGCACCTCACAACAACAACAACAACTTCATCTTTAATAACAAAACACAGCACCATGGAGTAGATTCTGATGACAGAGTAAACCTGCCCTCTCTCAGGTTTCCAAAGCAGTACATCCTTGCAGAAACAGACTTCCCTCCTTTTCTCTCATGAAGTTAATGGTGGGTTCTAACGTAAGCCCGATACATAATCTAATGCCACTGGGGTGTCATTCCGGAATAATATTGAATTTTAAATTAAGAAGAGCCAGGGAAGTGTGAGGGCAAGTTACAAGGTCTTTCCAGTTAATCATAGAAACTTTTATTGAATATAATTATCAAAATTTAAATCTATTGTCTCTGGACCTACCGGTCATCTAGTTCTGTACACATTTATGGTGTTTCACTCTCTCTCACTCTTCCCCCCAAAAGTGTGTGCTTTTGAAAATTTAGGCCAT